CAGCTACCAACTGATTAAAATTTTTTCTCAAGGTGGCTTGTCCCATCAAATCAAAATATATATTTTGTGTATGTGTGTGTATTGTTTTGAATACTATGTCAAATAAATTCAAAATAAATTGAAATATTTTCAATTTTAATTGAAATGAAAATTATGTTTTTAACATGTTCGTCTGGAAGTAATTACTTTGTTATGGATGAAAAAAAACATTTGATGGTATTCCCTAGATGCCGCACGTGCAAAGTTGCTTTTTTGTTATTCACCTCAAGCTGCCCTATCTTGTATTATTGTACCATGGGTCTTTGGTAAATCGGTTCCAAATTTTCTGAAAGGGATTTGGTTCAAAGAAACTTGGGGTCTAAAGACAATATTTCAAAGAGGCACCCTCAATAATCATAATACTGAGTGTTTAAAAATCCCCAAACATCACAAAATTAAATATCAAACCTCTAACTTTAAAACAATACAAAAGACTTAAGACACAAACTCGCCTTCTATTTGATTGACAAAAAAAAATACCTCAAAAAACTAATGTGTGTTGAAATTCAAAATTTCACAACCATATGTGATAATAATCAGCTGTTTTGATTTTTTTTCGTTATATTTTGTGTCAAGATACAAAACAAATACATTAACATTTACGAAAAAAGAGATTTAACACACCCATACAAAAGGTCTACACAGAAGGCTAATCAATGCCGTCCATAACCATGTAGGTGAGTTTATATATAAATAACTTGCCTTTTTCATACGATTTTTTTGTTTTTTTTCCACTAAAGAAAGTGAAACTTATGTTGTTGTTGCTGCAGCAGTTTTTTTATGTACCCATTAAACATTAGCATAAAAAACACAGAGGCAAACACACTCACTCACCATTGTGTTTAATAATTTTCACATTCATATAAAAAATCTATGTAATAATCATAAAAGTTTAGTGTATTTGGAATGTATGAGTGTGTGTGGTGCGGTGTTTTTGGTCCCATGGACGGTTAAAGCTTTGTTAATGTCTTAAAGAAGAAGAAGCAGCAGCGGAAAAAACAATAACAAATAAAAATATTCATAATTTGAACCACTTTATTATGAGTATTATGATGATGGTAATGGCGATGACGATTACGTTTTGGGTGGCTTTACACTTGGCCGGTATATTTAACGGTGATTGTCATCCGTCCGTTCGTTTGTCTTTTCTTTTGGTCTGTTTTTTTGTTTGCTTCGTCACATGGCTAAGAGCTGGTGTTTTTGTGGACATTATATTCTATTACTTTTTTAATATGCATGATATGCACTTCGGAGTGTGACTCTTAGAGTGATAGTGCCGCCGAAGCTGCCACCAATAGCTTGTTGATTTTAGTTTGGCTCAAACTCAACAACTGCCACTTAATTGTCGTTTGTTTAATGTCGGCCAATTTGTTGGCCATTTACTTGATAGAAAAGAAAATTGTTGTAAAAGAAGAATACGAAAAAAATAATGGAAATTGAATTGCTGATCGTTTGTTGGCGATGAAATGTTGTTGTTTTTGCTATATTTTAGTTTTTGCCATTTTGTGTTAATTGAATTTCGTAGGTTTTTTTTTTTTTTGTTTTACTTTCAATTTTATTGGAGAAATGAGTGCAATTATAGAGTTGGAACGTTTTTTATTAAATTTCTATGGGTGGTTGATTTTTAAAAAAAATGGATAGATTTGTTTAATAAGTATTAAAAATAAAAACAATTATTGTCAGTAAAGAACTATACATCAGCTGACCTATTTATATTTAAAAATAAAACTGTGCATTTTGATTTTAAAGGTGGAAACTTCTTTGTGGGGATGAAAGCCAATAGTGAGTATAGTCAAAACCTAGAATTCTCCACAGATCAAGTTTTTATGTTATGGCATGATACATGTCAAAAGTTCTAGAATAATAAAAGTTTCATTCCAGAACCTAAAAGAATATACTAATTTTACAAGTTTTGTAACTTTTTACTCGAAACCCGTTCCTTAACTCAGAAAATGGCGTTCTCTATGTAAACTTTTTGCTCGAAAAATTTGTCCGAGTAAAAATGTCCGGGTAAAAATTGTAAACAGGTATGCCAGCTTCTGATTGGCAATTGCTGGTTATTTTTGTGATCACATATCTTTTATCAAATCGAATGAGGAATTTTTTTGTAAACATGACCTACTTCCATCTCTAATTCGTGTGCTTCTTACGGGTTTAAATCATTTCAATAGCAGCAAACAATGATGTGAATCTTCTTCTTCCTTAATAATAGGTTCACCAGCAGAAAATCTTAATAACTCAAAAAAATTACCTATAACGAATTTGTATTTCTGGTTTCAGAATGTACCCGTTGCGGGCACTCATACCAAATTCATTATTAGGCCAACAATATAAAGGATGGGATAAAAAAACTCCAACAAAGTCAAAACCCATAATTTTTACTTTTTTATTTTTTTTTAATGAAAACAAAAAATGTCGGAAATAGCATCAAATTTTAGAATAAGTTTTAATTGGTTCGAATTGGTCAACTTTGGCACGAATTATGGCCTTCAAACGGCCAATGAAACGTCACACGCTGCTCGAATGTTGCTCTGATGTATTTTGGCTCATTCCCGGCGAAGCGCTTGCTTGAGACAATCGACGCTTTGGTAATTTTTAGTCCCAACCTTGCTTTCCAAATACTCCAGACACAATAGTCCAATGGATTGGTATCCGGAGATTTTGGTGGCCATTGTGCGCTAGAAATGAAGCGAGGAACCTCATTTGGTAATCATTCATGGGTGGCGCGTGCTGAGTGCGATGGTGCTCAGTCCTGTTGGAATATACACCCTCCAGAATATTTTCGCGATAATATTAGGCATTTATTCTGATGCCACGGTCGATTAATATGAGCGGAGAACGACCATCGGCTGTTATGGCGGCCCACACCATCACCAGGGTCGGGTACATGTCTGGCAATCGTATGAACTAGGATTATTGGCTTCGCTCAAAAATAAACAAAATGGCGGACCTTTAAACAAATATTTTTGAAAAATCGACTATTTTTTACCATAATCCAAGTTAAAAAATAAGGAAGATCTCGGCCGATTGGATTTATCCTAGTTCATACGATAGCTATACACTCACAGAGAAACGTCCCAAAATTTGGAATCAATCGGATTATTAGTTTTTGAGTTATCGTGCCAGCCATTCGTAAAACACTGATTCGAGAAAAAGGCGATTAAAGTTTGAGAATCACTCTTGCCGCCACTTGATGCTGACACAATAAATCGACTATTCTTGAAGAGTTCTTAAGATTTTCACTTGAATTTTTGTAGGGACCAAAGTCTAGTTTTATACCCTTCACCACACTGTGGTACAGGGTGTTATGTCTTTGTGCATATGTTTGTAACAGACAAAAGGAAACGAGATAAGCACATGGTTCATTTTGAGAATATGCATCGAATCACTTTCCAAGTCGATTTAAACAAAGTACAGGTCGCATTTATGATCCTATTTGGATGAAATTTGGGACAGCTCACTTATTTGGTTCAAGGACGAACCCTATTGAAATCGGTTCATATTTAGATATAGCTCCCATATATATTTTCGTCTGCTTTTATGTAAATGTTTGATTTGGGGCAAATATGCGCCGTTTTGTTGTCATTTTAAAGGCATTTCTCGGTCATTTCTCCAATTTTATTGACGACCGGCCTGCCTGTGCGAAGTGCATCTTTAAAATCAAAAATTTCTGAACGGAATCTACGAAACCAAAATTGCACATAATTGGCTGTTAATGTATCGGAACCATAAACATCATTCACAATTTTAGCCGCTTGGCTAAATGTACCGAATTTTCTCTTTTTTCACATCAATTTTAATCAGCTTGTAACTCACAACTGAATGCACAAACAAAAACCGGCAAAATATTTTTTTTTACTGCGAAATGTCCCCTTCCAAAGAGCATAAATCTGAAATTATTTGATCGATATTTTACGAGAAATCTATCAGTACAGCCATCTGCGAAAAAATAATGGATTTCTTTTTCCCCAACATAATATCTTCTAATTTTATCATCAACATGTTGTTGTACTACATGCCAATTTTAATTTATTTACATTTTATTTGCAATTTCAACGACTATTTTTATATTATCGGCAAGAACTTTAAATTTTATGAACGGTCCCAAAAAATAACTATTAAAATATCCTCTGGCACTCTGATAATAGGTTCTGAAACTCACATTCTTGTGTGTTTTAAAAAATTAAATCTTTTATTCTAATTGGTATTATTAGCCGGTAGTCGGTATATAGTTACACGTTTTTTCAACATTTTATTTAATAAAAGCACCGAGTTTTCGATGATTTAAATTTTTAAATATATGGTATGATCCCGTACTGCAAGAAACTACTACTTTTTACTACGATAACGAATTTTTCATTATTATATCGAAATAAATAGTAAAATGTAGTAGATTCTTGCAGTACGGGAACAGACCATAAATGTGTAAAAGCCTGCTTCGAATTTTGGATTTTTAATTCACGGTTTCCCATAAATAGAAAACGCCTTGTAAAACAAAAGACTTACGAAACAAACTTGATACGATAACCGTTGGTGGTAAAGTTTGGTGAAAACTTCAAAGCACCGGTTTAAATATTACAAAATATGGTATGAAACATAAGACTTAAGACACAAACTCATTTTAAATAATTATGTGTTGTTTTCTATTCCTCTGTTCGAAGAAAATCTTACTTGCTGAGAACACAAATTTATTCTTAAATATGTCTTCCATAGAACCACGATGGTCAGTTATTGTTTTATCGAAACAAAACGATAAACTAAATGTGACAACCTATACCACATGGTGATAACAAGAATAAAACACTAACTAACCGAACTTACTAATTATGTAATGGGATAAATTCCCATAAACATGTCAATAAAAAAACAAAAGACTTAAGACACAAACTTTCAAACGATAATGAGCCAAAAGATTTGATCGATAAATTAAATTGTTTGTTTCTCTTTCGAAAATTACTTACAATTAATATTTTGGAGATTTTGAAACGTTTATCCATATTGATATATTCCATGTTGAATGAAATTGGAAGTTGTTGCTTAGTTGTTGTTTTGTTGATAGCAGTAAAAGAGGTGGTGAAGGTTGTGGTGTTGATTTCAAATGTCTTGTATAGAATACCAAGCAACCTTGTCAAATGGTGTTGAAAGACATTAATTTGTTGTTGTTGCTGTCGGTAGTGTGCCACAGGGCAAGTTTAGAATGGATTTTTTTTCTTTCTATTTTCTGGGCTTCTTTCGTGTGTTTATTTATTTTTTTTTTTTTTTTTTGCTTAATGAAAACGAAGGTGTTTTCTGGTTCACCGTTTTATTTCTATTTTCGGTGAGAGGGGTTTAAGGTTTGATCGCGTTTCGTTATCTTTTAATTGTTCTGTAATTCACGATAACTTAATTAACGCACAGAATTTGATAGCAAATGCCGGTTGAAAGAAAGCCTCCACCACAACACTTGATAAATAAAGCGATTTTATTTTTCAAATCAAATCACAGCACAACACTAATTTCTTTCATTTCTTTTTTTGTATTTTTTGTTGTTGTTTTTGGTGCCTGAAAGCGTGTTTATTAATTTTCACTGCACGTCTAGACCCAATGTGAACTGAGGTGAACACCACCGTAAAACTTTTACAAAACTTTAACAATATTTTTTTTATATTTCACTTCACAATTTTTTTTCTTTCAATATTTTTGTCACTCAGAAAATTAAAAAAAAAAACTTTCACAAAAAGAAACACAACAGCTTGGTGACAATAAAAATTTCAATATTTCTTAAAACACCCTTTGTTTTTTTATTTTTCAAATTGGATGTAAAAAAGGTTTGGGAAAATCGTTAAATTATATATTTCCTGTTTTTCTTCACAAAAAGAAAATCACAATTCGTTTATTTTTTCCGCAATTCATAAAGATAGTTTCGATTTTTTTCTTGTTATATCTTAAATCGTATTTCAATCCGAAAATTTACGTTCACACGCTTTGCACTCACGATTGCAACTGTTTTGTTTGGCTGCTTTTTTGTGTTGGCTGTTTGGTCTGGTCGCGTCTGGTCTGGTCTGTGACACACAGACACAGAGTTCCAAGTCACAGTTACCATCATTGCGCGCTATCACTTCGTTCGTACGTTCGTTCATTATAAACAAACACCCAAACCGCCGTACGAGCATAAGACCATCATTCGGTAACTATTGAGCCATCGACTTACTACTCTTTATTATTTTTTGTTTCTTTCTGCTTCTTTACAATTATACTACTATGAACAAATCCCACGACAATATCTTGGTAGGAGAGTTGCCACATTGAAAGTGGTCGGAAAAAATTATAGCTATAAGAGCGGATTTTTTTTTACATGTCAGATCTATAAGGGAGGATTTTTTTACTTAGCTGGCTTGTTACAGGACGGTTGTTCCATAAACCGAGCTTAAAAAAGATTTCCAAGCGCGTCGGTCTTGTGCGCATCTCCTCCAATTTTAGAGACCACATTCCAAGATGTTGTCTTCTACTTGGTCTTTCCATCTAATTCGTGGCCTTCCCCTTCTGCATGAACCATCAGTAGGCTCGCTTTTATATGCCTTTTGAGCTGGAACATTCTCATTCATTCGCTCAACATGGCCTAGCCACCGTAGTCGCTTCAGCTCAGTACGACTGACTATGTCGATGTCCGTGTATAGATTGTAAAGCTCGTGGTTCATTCGACGCCGATATTCACCGTCGACGCAGATCGGCCCGTAGATCTTTCGGAGAATTTTTCTTTCAAATACCCCAAGAGCTGCCTCATCTGCTTACGCAAGTACCCATGCTTCAGATCCATATAATAGCACGGGTAGTATCAGCATCTTGTAAAGTGTGAGTTTGGTCTGGCGGGAGGTGGCCTTATTTGTAAACTGCTTACTTAGACCATAGTAGCATCTGTTGGCTATCACAATCCCTTCCGAATTTCAAAACTGATGTAATTCGTTCTATGTATGCGGTGCCAAGCCGAACGCAGACATGGCTTTAAACACCTCTGAACGGATAGGGCTGTCAAATGCAACTTTATAGTAGACAAATAGATAGAATGTGTCGATGTGTTCTTCGTGAATCTTTTCCAGGTTTTGGCGCATAGTGAAGACCTGGATAGCATTTTATATGCAATGGGAAGGAGACTTATTCCTCTATATGTGACACATATCGTCTTGTCTCCTTTTTGTGCACGGTACACAGGATGATGAGTTTCCAATTATTGGGCATGCATTCCCCTAGCCAAATTATACCAATCTGCTGGTGCATGCTCTTGACCAGCATCTAACCACCAGTCTTGAATAGTTTGGCTGGTAACCAACCATCGGCTCCTACTGCTTTATTGTTCTTGTGCCGATGGTATACATTCTATACATCATCTCTTATTGGTTCTGGTGTATCTTTTTCACCACCACTATTTGATACCAGAAGCTTTTCAAAATACTCCTTCCAGATACTCAACACGCTGTACGTATCTGTCACCAGGTTTCCTTCTTTATCCCTACAGGAAGGTGTTTACTCGTTGGTAAAATGTCCAGACTTCATTCTGACTCCTGCAATCTCGATTTGCTCACGCTCACGTTTTTCTGAAAATACGTTTCTCCTCTCTCCTTTTCTCCCGATAATTCTCCATCGCACTGCGTGTTTCTACTGTCTGCAGGGTTGCCTTACACGCTTCACTTGTGTAGCATTACGACACTCCTGATCGTACCACGAATTTCTTTATGGTGGTTTTTGGTGTTGCTTTTGCTGCAGTTTGTAGGGAGTGGGCAATTCTTTGCTATTGTGCTTCTATACTATTATCGAGACAAGAGTGCTTTCGCCAAGCAGGTGGGTAAGTTGAGCGGAGTAGGCTTCTGCTACATGTTGTGTTTGTAGCTTTTCGATATCGAGTTTCCGTGTTGTGTTAGATCGCACCTTTGCTGCTACATTAAGACGAGTGCGAACCTTGGCTGCTACAAGGTAGTAGTCCGAATCGATATTCGCTCCTCGGATCGATCGAACGTCTAATACACTGGATGAATGTCTTCCGTCTATCACAACATTATCAATTTGATTTCTCTTTGCTTGATCAGGAGAAATCCAGGTGGCCTTGTGCATATCGAGATGCTTGAACCTGGAGCTGCTAACAACCATGGTTTTTGCTGCCGCGAAGTCAATCAATCTCATGCCGTTGTCGGATGTTTCTTCATAGAGGCTGAATTTTTCGATGGTGAGACCAAAAAAAATCTCCTAGCAGAATCTCCTAGCAGAATTTTAATGTCATGGCCAGGTTTCTAGGCCCTACAGTTTCTAGGCGCTCGTAAAAAATGTTTTTGATATGCTCATCTTTGTCTTCGGTCGGAGCATGGGCGCAATTATACGGATTATAGCAATTCGCTCATCTACTGGAGTGAATCTGGAAACGAGGTATTTTATTCTCCTGTTAACCATAAATCAAATTCATGTCTCATTTCATGACAGCTATAATACAGTGCGTAATCTTCTGATTTACTTACGTCTGTCCCTTTCCATCGTATTTCCTGTAAGGCAATAATATCGGCTTTGTACTTCTTGAGTCCGCTGCTCCGGTTCTGTACAACTTGCGCACATTCTAAGTGCAGATACGCAGATCGTAGTCCGTTATACGCTTGGGAGGGGGTCGCCAACATTAGGGGGCTTTGTTTTTTTCTTTGATTTTTCATAGTAGGGGGTTTTTTTATAGTTCTTATGGGTACACTCGCGGCACATATCAGCTCCCTATTTCATCGGGTGATGAAAATAGCTACCCCAGGTGACACCGGGGGGAGGTCAGTGTCCACAATTGATATGAAAGAGGAACCAAGATAAGGCTGGGATTCGCCATGTTAATGCCAATCAGAGCCGTTGCTTGGTATCTATCATCCCCTACGCCATCTATTGACACAGTTCCCATAAAAAAGATTCGACCTATTTACAATATTTTGAAAGTTTTATCTCCGAAGAAGCTGTGATTTCGCATTCCACATTCTTGGTGAACAAGGAACCTTCCTTGTGGAAGGAATGTGCAATGCGAATATTTTCAATTTATATTTATATTTTATCATGATTATTTATATATATATATATATATATATATTTATCCCAAAGTGTTATTTTCTTTCCACCCAATATGGCATCTCTGCTTTCACCAACTCCCAGCTGTTTCTGCACTGAAGACTTACTACTCAGTCAGTAAGTCAGTCACTTAATCAACGAGTCATTCATTGTTATGTTTACCAACCATCCGCTTCCTCTCCGCTTTGGCTAAATGGCTAGCTGACTGGCTGGTCGTTTGTTGTTAGCTGTAAGCTCCAAAGTAAAATGTTAACGGGGAGAGAAAATTGAAATTGAGCGAAATTTCAAATCACTGAAAAAAGTCATTCTCGTCTTGCCTAAGACTGAATAATCAACAACAAGCTAAGCAGCCAGTAAGCTAACAGCTAGCCGGTCGTCAAAGAAAGCAATCCCTACACATAGTCATCATCATCAACAACATCATCATCATCGGCAATAACCGTATCTTCGTTGCCATTGCGTTTGGATCATGTCGTTCATATGTGTGAATGAATAAACGCTTGGGGGGCAATCGTGGCCGGTTGGTGATAGTGGTCAGAGTGTGTGTATGTATGTTCGTTTCTTTGTACGGTTTACTATTGATGGGAACTCAGTTTTCATCGAGCTAACTGGCCAAATAGATCTATGGCTCTCTCCTAAACATTGGGCAGAGAGAAAGAGTTAAATAATAACATTAACAGTAATGTAAACATAACATAACTATTGGGAAGTAATGCCAATACTTCATATATTATTGGAAGATAATGAATCAAATCGAGTGTAATCAACGAATTGAGTCACAATTCAATTTTTATTTTTTCCTATGACCATATTTATTTGGCCATTAAGTTCTATCGGGCCGAAATTTGTAGTTGGGCATTCAAAATACCAAAAATGGATCAGAGCTACCAGGAGAAAACTAATGTTGGGCTAGGATCTACCGAAAATTACTTTTGACAGTTGAAAAA